TTTTTTTCTTAACTACAACAAGTACATACATAATGACTGCCATCCTCAAACTGCACTCTTTGACAACATAATAAAGCCACATGTACAATATAAATGTAAGAAAGATGTAACATGTGGCCTCTTGAAGAGTGAGTGGTGTATGTATTGTACTGATGGCATCAGGTTATAGATTTCTGTCCATATGTGGTCCCTGTGAGAGCACAGCCCCACCACGACTACATTTCCCAGAAACCTCTGGGGGGGGAATGAATTGCTGCTCTCCGTCTCCTGACCACTTGCATGAAGACAATTTGTCAGGTGTCTTAGTGCTTCCTGAGTGAGCCAGTAGATGTCTACCATCTGAAGGCCAGACGGCACAACCTCTCTGTGTGCCAGCTGTGCTTTTAGCAAGATTAGTTTTGAAAATTATAAGTGGAAATGTCACACAGGTTGATAGGGCATTGCGTGTTTCAATTATTCTCGATATATGATCTGGATAAAATCATTTATAAAATCTGTTTCATTAGTGCCACTGTTCAACTGCATTTTTAGAAACCCCATCCTTACAGATGTGTTGATCAAACAGAGGAAGACCAAACATAAAACAAGTAGGATTTTTCCCAAACAAAAAGACCATTTATTACTTAAACAGGTCATTCTGAAGTACCCAGCCTTACAGTTTTTTTCAGCACCAACTGTACTGTATAAATGGGGTGTCCTAAATGGGTGAAGGAATTACTGACTTTCTTACAGCTATTCTGTAATGACTCTGCCAAAAATCTGCGGACTCAGTACATTTTTCCCCTGCTGAAAATATGTCTCACCTATGAAAACAGGAGATATTACTCACTGCAACTAAGTTGTAATTATGCAAAGGCACGACAAGATGTAGATGGTTTACCTAAATGAAGATAAAATGAGACCACAAAGACATCTGCTGGTGAAGTGGCTTCAGAAGTGTCTGATTCTTGTCATCATGGCTTACGTAACTTCTTGCTCCATTTAGTAAGAATGACTCATCATTCCGTTAATGTTTAGTAGAAAGTTTGTGTTCATGCAATACATCATTCAAAATATATTTAAGATGAAAAGATAAAAACAAACAAATAACTCACAGACAGCAGTCATCTAATTTTCATTCCAATGTCCCAATTTTCAATTTCCATTTTCATGACCAATAGCCCTTCAAAGGTCGCGATGAAATGTCATTTAAAATTAAATTAATTGATGTTTGCTGCCTTTTAAATAAAATCGAATGACAGTTAAATACTAAACATAAAATCAGTAATTGAATCAATTGGAGTATACTGCTGGAATTCATTTGTTTTTGTAATTGAATTATTGCCGCTACCCTGAAATAATAATGGCTTCACGCACAACATTATTTAAGAGCTACGGTATGTATAATCAGCTTCTCGAATATTAAAACTTTTCTGTCAATGGATGCGTTAAGTTTCTTAGTGGATAAAGTCAAAATATTTTAATGGCAGCATGTTGGCCCTTTTTTGTCATCACAACTACTTGTTATTATGGTGGACAAAAAAAAAATATTTAATGCAGAAAACCTTCAAATATTGTGTTACAAACAGACTGGGGATTTGCAAGAATTTGCTTTGCAGACTCTGCCTTGCACCACTTTGTCTGGAGTTTGATTCTGGTTTGAAAAGCTGTGCTTCTGGATGTTTGCCCCATGTTTGTGTGTGCCTTCTCCCAATGCTCCAGTTTCCTCTCATGCTCATGCTGGCCAGGCTCATACAGTAGGTGTCGCTGAATTGTGCACTGCAATGGTCTGGCGTCCTGTGCCATGTTTGGTTTTGTCCTGAATTCTGTGTTTCTGGGGTAGATTCCAGGTTTTCCCTTGCTAGGAACAATGGGCTTTCTCAAATGGATGAATGTATACAATTTCTTCTGAGAGGTTATGAAAAGTGACTCCCCTTTGTTATGAAACAAAGTGCAGAATGTCCTAAGATACTGTATCAGCCCACAGGGGTATAGATTTTTATTTCCACTTAATAATAAGTATTAGAATAATGTAAGCTGATTAAGCTGGGAGGTTAATACTTGGTGATGGATGTTGTTTCCATCCAGCAGGTACTGTAGGTGAGGTAATGGATATAATTATTTCATTTCTGCAAAGATGTTGACATTACCAGCAGACAATGCAGTAATGTGGGATCTCTGTCTCAAATAATGAATACTCACAGATTCTTTACTACTGATTGGCTGAATCAAACAAGAGAGAAAGTTTAAAAAGCTGCAGGACAAAGAGAGCATTTGTGAGTTGCAAGGGAATTTCTGAAGAGGTTCTGAGGTGAGTTTGGAGTCCAGGCAACAACAATTAGTGAGGCTTCTCAGTAAGTTGTTTCTTCTTCCATTTGCATGAACAACCAGCCATCAAAGCATACTTTATCATATATAATGTATAAAACAAATAAAACAGAAAATAAAATACTGTAAGTGCTGTATATGCAATCATTAGTTTTTTTATTTTTTATTTTTTAGATTTTCATTATACATTAGATCATAACAAATGATTGTTTAATTTAGATATACAGTGAGTTCTTAACTGTTTCAGACTACTGTTAATTTAGATAAAACTACTTCAATAAGGTTAAGAGGTCCAATCTACGTTAATTACTACAAACCTGTCAATTTGTCAACCTGCTGAATTCAAGCTTAGCCCTGTACTAAAACGTCTTGCGAACTAGTATGCCTTCCATTATTTAAGCTATATCGCCATCTAGTGGAAAAAACTAAGAAAACTCTGGTGGTATGTAGATTTGTTTTTCAAAATCTTTTTTTTTCAGCTTTATAGTTTAAATTCTTTTTCTTTCACTGTTACTGTAGAAATCACCCGGAATGATGAAGACTGTCGTACTGCTAGTCTGTTTCATAGGCACAAATATTGCATTTCCTGTAAGTAAACATCTTATCTAAGTCGATTTTCATACCAACAACTCTACTTTGTCACGAATAAATAGGAATAACCACGGACATTTAAATATGCAAATATCGTTTGACGAATTTTCCTTATAAATAGCCTTAAATACTGTAAGTAAAAATACAATTCCAAGCTTTTTTTTCCGAATGCAAACCTTTTATTTTAATTGTTTCCATTATTTAAACTGTAGCTGTATCAAGCAAACATTGGACTGTCTGCAAGTAACAGCCTGGAGGTAAATGCCTTTAAATGTATTTCCTACATTTGATATATTGAAATTGCGCGTTCAAGAGTCTCCTCACTGATTTTGTTTTACGTTGTGTATTTCTTCATCCAGATCTTGCGGATGAATGGTCTTGGCTACACTACTGGACTTGACTACACTGGTTTAGGACAATCGCTGGTAACGTCCTCTTAATGCTTTCTTTTTTTACTATGAAGAGATATTTGGTTTGAACCAATAGTTAGGGGCGCAGGGACTGTTAGACATTTCAGAAATTAAATAATAAAAAAATCTAGTCATAGCCAAATCAATAAATCAGTATCAAACCACTTTCAATATCAGACTATACGCCATGCTTAAGATGTAAAATTGCTTATTTTACATCATATATTGACTGCTTTTATTTCCTCACAGGCCCTGCCATACGTTCAGTCTTTGGTGCCCCAGCTGCCTCAGGGCGGTGGCCAAGTACTAGAGCAGGTGCCCCTGCCAGCCCAGAGCCCCGTGGGTCCTCAGGTAGTGTTTCAGAGACAAGGCCTGGTGAGCCCGCAGTTCCTGCTGCCTGCGCAGGCCCCGCTGCACCCGGCAGTGCTTCTGCCGGCACAGTCGCAGGTGTTTTTCCCCCCGAGGAATGTTTTTCCCGTGGGTGCGCTGCCTCCCCCGGTGATCCTCTCCTCGCGCACCGGCCAAGGCCAGATGCCGCAGGGTCAGAGCCCACTGGATCCCCTGGTGCCGGAGCAACCACAACAGACACAGCCACAGGTAGGGCAGAACCGGGCTCTAATGGGAAGAGCAAGAAAACGTCACATCGTTTCCCTTCTGCAGGATATTCGCGTTTCAAAACTCAGAATGACGATACCATTGTGACTCCTTGTTCTCGTGTGTGAATGACCTCACTGCGTTCAGTGTGATGGCGTCTCGACCCCGTCCTTTAACTTTAACTCTGGTGGCTGTCCATGAATGCTTTTTGAACAATGTACTGTACTGTTTATTGTGTGGTTGTAAAGTAGGGGCTGTATGAGAAAAAAAAACAGAAGCTGTATAACGGGATTGCTACAGTATTTCCAAACGCAGTTACACAAACACCAGACTGTTATAAAAAGGAAAGAGTTGTCCCACTACCACATAAAATGTAATAGAAGTTAACAGAATTGCACATTCTTACTCTATTTACAGTATGTACTGTATGTTGTCTTACATGGTAAGTCATGTGATGCATGTAATGTGTGAAAATGAACTTTGTAGCTTTTACATACTTTTATATGAAAATAGATGTTCTATACAGTATATGTACAAAATACATATCAATTCATCTAGGTAATGAGAATTCACATAATTGATTTTCTCATCCCGTTTTCCATGTCTTCTCTGACACAGGTTGTTTCAATCAACCCCACTTCAATGTATCCACGTCAGACACAACAGGTAATGAATAATGTTTTACCAGGGCATCAATCAGATTTTACACAGAATATATCTGAATTTCAAAGATAGAAAGGAAAAATCACAGTACCTTCACAAAGAGTTGTCTATAGTTGTTATAGTTGTCTATAGAGTACTCCTACAGACTAAGCTGATTGGGAAAAATATGCACTTTAAAGACTGAAATCCGGACCACACTAAAACAGGGGTCATGTACCAGTCAACAACTGTCATGCACACAAGAGGGCGCTGTTGCATACATGCCTACAGGCCACACTGGTTGGACACCAGTGATGTAAGCCCCCTCTGGCGTACATACAGTAGTTGCGATGAGCATTCACTGTAATTTCCTTTGTATGTGTTCTAAACACCATTGATGTACAATTAATGGTATTCACAATTCTGTTATTTTAACAATCCAGCCAACCATTCCAAGTACATTGTAACAAAATACTAGTAAAAAGGTTAAAATACTGTAACGCATCCGGCCGACATTACAGGTTGTGCGAGCCGGTTTACCAGTGCACTGACACTTACGGAGTAATTTATTGAATGACTGTTATTATTTATGATGTAAATGAATAAAGAATAGACTGTTTGCACAAAACAGTATGCTACTCATTAATCAGGTTAAGGTGCGACACTTGCACCTGCAACAGCTGGAAAACACGTAGGACAAGCAAAACATGAGACTGGTCCGCCTCCAGTCATGATAACGATATTATTTCTGTGTCGATGATTTTCAGTTCCAGGGCTACCCACTCTACAACTACTATCAGTTCCTTCGACAGCAAAGTAGCTCGTCACTCCCAACACAAGTGCCAGAGGGGACACCTTCTGAACCTGCCATCCTCCCTCCAACACCTGGACCTTTACAGGTGCCTATAGCACAGTACTGATTTAATCATCCTAAATTAAAATACCATAGTCATTTGTTGCATGCGTTCAGTACAGCACTTGTCTTACTTGCAGTGTCAAGTAGTTTCTCTAAGTCAGGGACCTTGGGGTGGAATAAAATGCCCGTTTTGCTTTTTTATCCAGTCCAGTGGTAGAATGTTGAGCTAACTGATGTCTCGCTTTTTCAGACATTTGCAGACTGAGTAGGTGTTTAGGGTCGTCCAGACTCATCCCTGTAGGTTTGAGTGCATGGAAAGACCTCTTGTCTATTTAAATAGGATGTGGCCAAGACGTGCAAACAATGACTGTTCTGCTGAATGGGAAAAAAATAATCCAGTTCATGTAGAGCTGCTTTAAATAAGCAAGTGAGCAAAAAAAAAAAAAAAAACCTGCATAGCCATACAAATTAAAGACCCTTGTGTCTTAAGTTAAAGAAAAATATTACTTTTACAGAGAACTCCTCTAAATCATGAAGAAGACATAAAAGTAAGTTCAATTTTTGTTTTAGTTTCATCAAACTGTATATTACTTTTTTATTTTAATGTAATATTTTATAATTTGATGTAATAAGTTACCATGCTTTAATTTATTTTGTATGCAGTTATCACACCAGGGATAAGATTATATTCCAAAGGTTAGGAGTAGAAGAAATAACACCTTTTAAATTAATTAATGACTGAAAAAATCCTTTAATTGCTCAGATGGTTGTGTGTAATAGATATGGCTTTTATTAATGTTAAGATTTATCCAGAAATCTAGGTAAAATTAATAAGTCTACCTATATCGGTATGTTGCTTATCAGAATTATTTTCATTACAATGTAGACATATGCACTCTCCATAACATGCAATCTATAACTGTATTATCACATTGAAAAGAGGACCTTGTCACCTAAATGGTTCTTAGTATATTATCTTATATTATTATTATTATTATTTTACTGCAGGAAACCCAAACTCAAGCAGCACAGGAGTCTACCACTGTGTCATTTCCAGAAGCTTATCACATGCCTACCACTCCTTCTGATCAGGATGTTAATGCAGTTACAGATGAGGTGCAGTACAGTTAATATATGTATACAGTACATACTATAAACAGAAAATGCATAGTATATATAATATATAACACTAAGGGTTGCGAGTATAAAATACACGGTAAAGTAATCTTCATTGTTAGCATTTATATGTCTGTTTAAAGAATGCTAGTCGTGATAAGGTCGCTGTCACAAATTAATTTATCACACTCTAACAACATACAACTTGTTAGTTATTATAAAATGAAAGTAGACAGAGCAAACAAAGGTGGATAATTTATTAATTTGTTTGTTCGTTTATCATTGAACCAGCCAAATGTTGCAAGCCTCATGGAGCCATAGAGGAAGACTTTTGAACAGACAGTAGCTAAAAGGTATTATTTTTTTTTATCACACATAGTCTTTGTGAACCTGAAAACCCAAATGTTTAATAAAGGCATTTCATTAAGCAATTTTATAGGACATAATTAAATTAGTTTTTACCAGGTGCAATGGTTTTCTCAAAGCATCTAAGACATTCTGGATAGATTAGTAGGAGTCTGTAAAATTGTCTCTTTGTGCGTGTCTGTGTGTATGTTGGCTTGTCAGAGCGTGGTCTCCTGACCAAGAATGTCTCACCTTGTGTCCTGTTCTCTAAAAAGAGGTTCCGTATTTCTCTGGTCTTTTAGTAAGGATCACAGACTTTTCATAATTGGAGGATGGATTGTAATATTATATGCTTCTTTTATTGACACAGATTCTGTATTTAAAAACAATTCTAACAACAGATAATAGTGATCTGCGTGTTGCATTTTTTAAAGCAAATTGACCGTATTCCAAATATCACAGTACTTCTTTCTAAAAAAATATTATTATTTATTTTACAGGGTGAAGGAAAATCACCACAGATATGTTTTGGATGAGTGCCCCCTAAAGTAAAAAAGCTGAATCTGTGAGATGTACAGTATTAACCACAGTAACACTGTTGCAAGCATGTTAAATATCTGGAGTCCTTCCATTGTTTTTATTGCTTTACATGGAAAAATAAAACCTCTTGTCAAGCTCCCAGCATTAACACTGTTTTGTTAAATGATAAACTATTTAATTAAATCTGCATGTTCTTTCTTGGTACTGTACATACTGTATGCTATGTCCAAAACAAAAATCAATAAAGTTTTGTTCTTGTAGCCCCACAAATGTGTGTTTTCACTGACTGCAAGTGTAACACATTTATATTTGTTCGGTCATGATCAATTTTAACAGCTGAATTTTTAAAACATGCTGTAGTGATTTACTTATCGATTCTCATGTTAACAAAGCAGAGAGACAAAAGGCCCAAACAGGCATAACCACGTAGGAGTCAAAACTAAGAATATAATAAGATCTATCTTTCCAGAAAACATGTAATAAATGCTCTTGATATATTTTAGATAATGAAAATTAGATATTCGGTATTTTAATCTATTATAAGTGTATTAATGATTTACAAGTCTGTTCTCCAAATTATATTTTCATAAAAATAATTTGGCTTTATCATCACTGGTATCCTAGGTGAGTTACATACTGTATGGACCCATTTGCATGGTTACTGTTCTTAGGGGTCCCCCACTAGGATTGCACATACTTCCAGTTGGCCACGAGAGCCCTTACCAGTTACCAAGTTCATCAGAAGCATCACAATGGATGGTGACCACACTTCCGATGAACATTTTACTACAAATTCACTTTCCCCTCCAACAAACCACTGGCATTGAGGCTGCTGTTGTTGTGTCTCTACACCTTGCCTTGTGCTTAAATTGTGCTGTTCATACAGCTGAAGCACTGTACAAGTACAGGCTTGACAATTTCTCAGCTCACTGGTGGGTTAGATTAGGCCAGGGCACCTTTCTCAATAATGCATACACATGTACAGAAGATTCATGGCATCACAGAACAGCCACAAAGTGTGGAAAGTATTGGAGGCACTTGAACATGAAAAATGCAGATGGCAGTTACTGCATAATCTTAAAACTATGGTTTTTATCCCTACCTTGGCTTTTAGGTGCTAAGTGTGATGAAGCAGCAGCTCAAGATTCTCAGATTTTCTCTTGACCAATGCCTTTGGTAGGAGCCAGAGAGAATCAGTGAAAACTTTCCCTGAAGCAGTGCCCCTGTATTCCTCAATAACAACTTGTATATTAGATATCTGATTCATGTACTTCACAGTTTTGAACAAGAGGTGGTCTTCTATATCTTCCTTTTTCCTACATAAATATTTAAATAGTACAGACATACCATTTATCTCGTGAAACCTTCTACTTAAGCTGTTGTATCATTATCTCAAACTGTTGTGTTTTCCCCTCATTTCTCCTTTAGCTGATCCATGCTCGGTTGTGAACTTTATTTTCAGTATTTCACCTTGAACCCAAGTCTAATTTAATGTTAAAAACCAACATTTTGCAAGTCTAGCAAAAGTTAACTAAACATAAAATTACAGAATTCAAATTAGCCTAATCTCTATTTTACCACACATAATTTGGAGTCATTGGGGCTTGGTATGAATGTACAGCAGTTATGACACATAACCTTGAAGTAGTAAGTGGTTGGTGGAAAAGCCAGACACAGCTTAACACTAAAGTGACTTCAGCATGTATTTGTCAGAGATTATGCTGGATGACGTTTGGAGTAATCAGGATACCATAACAAAGCAGCGTCTGACTAGACATAAAATCCCACTATTCATTATTTTACACTCTATTTTTTGTACTTATGTAGCTATTGTTTTGAACTCACATTCAAATTCAAACTTTTAAAAATTCCCTCTTTTTCATCTTCTCTAATCACTGTAGATACCGTAGATACCAAATTAAAAAAAAAACACTCCGTTAAAACATTAATTGACCTTTTGCAAATCGCTTGGTTGTATTTGAAAGTCTGTTGCAGCCCTTATTTTAAGATAAGATATAAATTGATCTATATATGAAACAGCCATTTAATTTGGGTTAACATAATTGTAAATACTGTATTAGATAGCATTCTAAAGCTTTTAATAATGAGAGGCATTGGATTTACTTTTCTTGTAACAACATATTTGACTCCCAAGATTTAAACATAAAATAGTAGGCATAGATAGTAAAATCATAACTCACATGCGCTGGCACAATTTTGTTACATATGAATGAGTTTTTAAAAATGTAAATATATTAAAAATGTTTTGAACTTGCTTGTCCTTGTCTGTGCTTTTTGATACGGTATTGTAGTACAGTTACACAACAAAACTTTATTCTCCTTAACTGCTCTTATTCCATCTTTGTTTCTAAAATCTTCATAAAACCATTCCTTAATATTGGTCCTACAAACAACAGTACAATCATTGAAATTCGTTTTATCACTCACTGGCAAAGTATCAGACAGATAAAATATGACAGAAGTGACTGCAGGATGTACTTGGTGTTATGCATTTTTCCAATAACCAAAGTGTCCGTCTTAATTAACAAAGTACATTATGCGCTCTGAGCATTTGGATGAAACTTAATCTGCTGGAACTACATCACTGTAGCTGTTAACAAAATAACAAAAATAACAAAAAATACAATCATTTCTCTGGGAATGTTAATTACTGACTCTGAGCATAGGCAGAGTTGCCATAGAGCAGTTGTACGTCCTGTCCTTGACAAGTTTCTGCCAGAGACGTATGTAACTATGATATAACCAAGTTTGCCGAAAAAACACAGTCCAATCAGGAATGGTGCTGTGGAGTCACACTCCTTTATGACAGACTGTCGTGTTTTGGAGCCTGCAGTGGAACTGTATGAAGATAACACTGTAATTCCCTTGCCAGAATGCAGCCTTTCTGTGGGTTTACACCTGAAGCTGAAGGCAGCCTACTACAGACCTGTCTCAGAGCAAACAAGGACACTTTCAGCCCCTTGAATGTTAGGATTGAGACAGTGGAAAGTTGACAGACCAGGGGAAATCTGGCATAAGCATATGAAAATATGCAAAGCTGTTTGTGAGGTTTAACCCTGCAGATTTGAGGCTATAGGCATGCCAGTGAATATGGCATTTCTTTGCACATGTACAGCACAGTGTCGTCCAAAATTATTTGGACAAAAAAGTGAAAAATTATATTTGCTTTACAATGAAGCAATTTGTATTGTGATCATAAAATTTATATGAATGATAATCACTACTGAACATTTAATTTTTGGAGGTAATTCCGTGCAAGCATTCTAGTGTATTAGAAAAATAATACTGTGTTCAGCCCAATGATTTCTAGTGATCACACAGATCATATTTGGACACTTTATTATTTTTATTTTTTTTGCTTTACCATGAGGCAGTGACCTAAATCATACAGCCAAAAGACCAAGCAGTTTTTCAGGTCTCAGAAATCAATTTCTGGATTTAAATTCAAGAGAAAATGCATTTTATTTGTTGAAGAAAAAAGTAAAATCAGAACACTCCAAGAATAAGCAAGAACTCTAGATGAACCAAAGCATCTCAGATAATTACAAATGGAAATGTATGCATAGAATTACCACAAAATAAAACTATATTATTTTGTACTTACCCTTAAAATTAATCTTGTGATTGCGAGTACAGTGCTATTCATAGTCTTGTCTTTACTGTCTCAGTGCTTTTTGGTGGGCAGTGAATCTCGTACCAGTTGGTACCATGCATCCTAGTGACCTCCTGATCTATTGAAATCACTGGCAAGTGGCACATTGACTCTTTTTCTCAAATGGCTTTTAAGTGCCTGTGTTCCCATATACAGTACACAGTTCATTGCATTACATTATTCTTGGAATTAATTACAAGACACAGGTATAAAAAAACAAAACATCCTAACTGCCTTTCAAGAAAAAGTAACTTCTTCATATACAGGAAGTATAAGAATTGTCATGATTATTCACAATTACATCCAACAAGAAATAACTTTGGTAATATGTAGAGGGATATTTCAATCCTTGAATGTCAGAATATAATCATGAAAATCCGGCTGTCTTTAAAAACTGGTCTCACGAACAATTGGAATAATATTACACAGGATGTAAAAAGACAATTATAATGGTCACTTTCTCTGGGGGATTTAAGATACTGTGTTATTGGTGACAATTTTGGCCCTATGTTTTTTGTAAATTGCAGATTTTTATTTTCTTGCTATACAAAACAAATGAAAAAAACAAAACTATTTTGAAGTTGGTTGGATATATACTAAATATAAGTGATTATTTTTATTCTTTGTACAATTCAACATTATAAATAAAAAAATTACAACAGAAAAACGAACGCTATTGCTATAATTGCAGCAGACACTGTGCGGGTTCAGGACAGGATGTATCTGTTCTCCATAATACTATAATTTGTATGTCTACTGCTTACAGTAGGTGCCTAAATCCCAATGATGGGGTGAATGATGTCACACGGAGCTTGTCTAGCATCTTGTGATTCCAAGAGCTGATTGGTGGAGTCGGGATGCAACACAAGCTTAAAAAGCAAAGGAATACAGAGATGTAGGACATCTTCAAAGAAGATCAAGCAGAGAAAGGGAAAACGCAGATTAAACTCCTTGTCCTGGATTTGAATTGAACACCTGCACAAAGGTAAAAAAATAAAAAAATAAACGTGGTTTCCACACACTGTTTTTGCCTATACTACTCATTGTTTTATTATCCATAATACAGCAATCTGGATCAAGAACAAACATTTTAAGAGTTCTTAAAGTAACATTTAATAATTGATTAATACCAATTTATAGTCTGATAAATCAAAATTAATTAAATGATTGTGGATTTACTGTATATTTGTACCCCATAATATATTTGCAAAACATTCATAGAAAACCAGTGAGGTGAAAAAAACGTCATGTTAAAAATACAGTATTCAAAATTATTTAGCATCTTTTCCTCGGGCAAAGTCTGAAAGCCTGGATCACATGTGATTCTTGTTAGTTCTTCTATACCTGACAGCACTCCTAGTGAAAGTAATAAATGTGTGGGTGCCTAGTAAAAGAATTACTAATAGGAGGTGTGATGTTCTAATTCTATCGCTAATGAAATCACATCTGTATAAGAAATGCAAACTGTCTTTGAGTGTTGGGTATTGATGACATACTGTACAGTATTATATTTTGGTGGAAAAGGTAAAGTATATGGACTAAGGATTCAAACGTGTTTAAGGATTATGAGGTCATAAAGTGCTAGAAAAGTCTTGAAAAATAATAAAACTAACCTATTTCCTAAATTAAATGGATTTCTTCTTTAATGTGGACTTACGAGTGATGTGTGTGTTTTCAACAGCATATGCATTTGAGAGCTACTGTATAAATATGAAATGACTTATGTGACCACAAAATTATTGATAATCTTCACAGAATTATATTATTAAAATCGTCGTCAAAATAAACATGTACTGTATATATACAAAAGGCTTAAATTTAATAAAAGGGGGGGGGGGGATTGTATGAATTTTTCAATCAAGTAAAATATTTTTTATTTTTTAGGGCATATTGAAATGCATGCTGCTCTGGTTTTCCTCAGCCTTGTGAGCACATGCCTCACAATTCCAGTAAGTCATGTTAATCATACTGCTTTTCAGATATAATCCCTACTTTAAGAACATTTTTCGCAGAAAAATCCAAAAGCCATAATGCCTTTTTATTCCTCTAGGTGTACCGTCAGCATTTTGGATTGTCAACCAGTAACAGCAATGAGGTAAATGAGCAATGAGGTCTAAAGACATCAAGAAATGAATAACTTGATTCATTTAGAGTAGTGGTACAAGACTGGTACAAGATTGCAAGGAGAAAGAAAAAAATTGTTCCAGTTCTACGAAACATACAGGTAGTTTTCCGTACACAGGCACTTTGTAGCCCTGATCTCATCAGACCTCAGAAGATAGGCAAAGCTGGGCATTGGGATCGTAGACCCGTCAGGACATTTTAATATGTAATAATAGGTAATATTATTCTGGTAAAATATTAATAAAATGAAGTCATGGATTGGTTTAATTTGTACAGAAACATACAAATGTTTTTCATAACCCAGGCTTTTCGGATAAGGGCAATGTAAAGTAAATCACAGCTGTGCAATGCTCCTTCCTCCTGGTTTCAGGCACTTCTTTTTCTTTTGCAGTTCTTTCGATTATCCGGGCTTGGATACAGTGGTGTTGGATATGGTCAGCCACAGGTACTCTTTTTTAATATTATTTTTTTCCCCCGTGTGTTTTAGCGGCCTGCTAGGGCCAAACCAAACAATTAAGTCTTAGGATGAGAGGCAACGAGTACAGAAAAGGATGCCCGGGACTTACGATTCTTTCTCCAAACTCTAGGCTCTGCCTTTCATCCCGCCATACATGTTCCAGCAGCAGCAGCCTCCAGATGTGGTCGCTCTTCCACCCCAGCTGTCCCTTAACCCCCAGGTAACGGGAGCCGGCCAGGGACCCCTGACTCCTCAGGGACCTCTGCCCCCTCAGTTGCTCCTGCCACCTCAAGTGTTGGTGCCCTCCCAGGGACACCTACCCCCCCAGATGCTCTTCCCCCCCACCCAGCAGGAGCAGCTCCCCGCGAGCCCACAGCAGCCCCTGAACCCACAGGACCCGGCTGCGCCTCAACAGCCGCAGACTCCTAACCAGGTAGGTCCTGCTCCTGTCCGTGTCCTCACCCAGCTCTCCTCTGTGTAGGCCTTTTCTCTGTATTGACCCTGTATGTGGACGGTTCAGTATCACGTCTACGCTTAAAACGACCATTTCTGTTCATCCCAAGGTGCTGCCCCAGTACTATCCCTCTATCACCTTCCCTCAGCAGCCTGGAGGACAGGTACTGTCATGTTTCCTACCTTAGCCTCCATGTTTGACTTCTACAAGAGAAACAAGCTTTAAGATATTGACGTTTCACGAGAGGGACTTGTTTGTTTCTGTGCACAGGGCTTGCCTTACTACATTGCGTATAGATACCCTCACCAACAGCCACCCACAATCCTCCAGCCGACACAGAGCCCAGTTCAACAGCAGCTGGAGCAGCCGACACAGGTGCCTCAGCTGCTATTTCAGGTACTGTACAGAATAAGGAATAATCGTGTCCTGTATGGTGTTAGCAGAAAAGAAAAGCATTAGGAGTGCCTGTTGTAAGATTTACTCTAAGCATTAGGATTCATTTGTACTAGACTGACTTCACCAGTCCCAGAAATAATTTTAATGGATGCATTAAAGACGTGACCAGAGAGGTTAAAAGTTACTTTTAGTTTTGTAATGAATTAAAAAGGGGAAACAGTTTTGGAAACAAAGATAGCAAAACCCTTTTTTATTTGGCAAAAATAGCATTTGGCAAAAAAAAATAAACTATCGCATAGGAAACTAACAGATATGATGAAAATGATCATCTAAGCACAAGATTATGCTGTTCATTCACTTTATCTTACAATTCTCGTTTCAGAAAGCATCCCAGCAGCCACAGGGACAGGTGGAACTGGTAAGTATTTAAAACATGACCTGCACTATGAGTGTACAGTATGTGTAAGTCTGTTTGTGTGCGTATGTGTGGTATGTTTCCATTTGTGTTATTATTCTCACATTTTATTGTCTATTTTTAGGAAAAATTTGGCCAGGTTACACCTGAAACTGGAGCAGAGATATGGCCAACTACATCTGCTCCTGAGCAGATTACGGAAGCTACTACTACTGGGACTGAGGAGGTACAGTACTATATTTGAAATCCAGTTTATCACTGCTGCTATTAAACTTGACAATCAGTTGCTGCACAGAGCCAAGTCGTCTCATGCTCTTTCTTGATACCGAGTGGTACGTTTCAGTACCGAAATGAACAAAAGTCTGGGTTAAATCACAGCATCAATCCAACTGCTTTGTGAATACAACCCTTGGTTTTGTTTGAGGATTTGATTGGTTCCACTGAGCCACATAATATAGCTACTGGAAAAAAAAGTCACCTTTTTTGCACCATATTTGGTTTTTACTTTACATATAGTTCGATTTTTTAACTGACCTCCACCTCTCCAACTGTGGAGGACTTCTTTATTTTATTTTTTTTCACTCTCTCATATTTGTTCTTATTACACAATAACAAAAAAAAAATTACATTCACAAAAAAAATAATAAAAAAACTTCCTACTAATATTCTAAACATCTAGTGCCAATCAAGCTTGCTTTACATATAGTTGAAGTTTTGATTTAATATGGGCCATGATGCTTGTGGCAATTGGCATTTGCCAAACTCCAGAGAAGAAAGAAAGATTTAAGCAGCACAATAGCATTGCAGAGTTAGCATTGCTACCTCACAGCTCTTGGCTCCTGTTCAGTTCTGCACAGTGCTGCATTCTGTGTTAATAGTACAGTACATGCTCTGATGTTTGAGTGGGTTTCTGAATCGCTACCGGTGCTTCCTGAAAGCATACTGGCTACTTTAAGTGGTGTCTCTACATTGTCCCTGTGTGCTTGTGAGCATAGACATGACGGACAGATGTCCTGTCTTCTCTTTCACACTGTGCTTCCAGGACCTTGGGTTGCAACATGACCCTTATCAGGAAAAAAAAAAACAACCTTCTGATGGTCTTCTGAAGCTGGAACCCAAGACATTGTATAAAGGAGCACCAAAGATTACTCACACACTGAAAACATTCATACACAGAGGCTCTCACACAACAATAATGAAAAGTAGGCATGATAAGAATTTAAAAATAGGAGGCCTAAACATTTCTGATTGGGTGTGTGGCTAGACAGCTTGTAGAAACTTTGACCTAGCAGGTTTTATTTTGTGTTTTCAAATAGATCTTCTTTTTTTAACAGTTTGGATTACCAAACTGTTATCCTGGTACCTTATACCAATCTTCTTAGAACTCTTTAAACAAATTAACCAAAAAACATTCAACCATTGTTTTTGTTTCCTTTTTTGCAGACTCGTCCCAGCTTTTCATTTCTTTTTGAACCTTAAGCTCCCCAAATCAAGAAGCTGACATCCTAAATGGTAAATGGCCATTACAAAAAAAGCTTTATATGACTGCATTAGGGACCGCATACCATACCTCTGGAATTAAGTGGGAAGGATAGTAAATAAAATAATCCAAAGAGAAGAACTTAAAATCATTTTAGGAACTCAGGTGAAATTTTGATGTGTTTAGGAAACAGACATTTTAATATAGTTAGTACCCTCTACATTCCTGTATTCACAAAAGGTGAGCATAGAATCATTCTGTAGTTTTCAGGTTCAAAACCACTTGTTTAAAAGACTATGCAAATAATACGTAAACAACTGTCTCATTCGTACATGGGACTATAATTATTTGTATCGACAGTGGACGCTAGTATTCCATAGACTTCAGCTGAAGCTTTCCTAACGTGTATGTTTGTGACCTCTTTCTACAGGGACAAGTGCATCCTGTGAGTTGAAGAAACAACTGGCAGCTCTTCACTTATTAAATTCTTTAATTAAATAATAGTTGAATCCGTCCAAAACAGATTTACGTATTAATGAAACTGCTTAACAAAAATAGTTTAGCTATAATAAACATTATAAAAATGCCATATGAATCTCTTTAGAGTGTTCTTATCAATATCAATACTAATCTGTGCCAATGTGTCTAGAGAAAAGACTTTAATTGTTCTCAACACATGTAAACATTTCCAAATTGAATAAAACGTTTTAACCACTATGCTCTTTGCCATTTTTGAATACATGCACGCATAATCATGGAACAATTTATTCTTTATAAAGTATTTTGTTTTATTATGTACTGTATGATAAAATTATAACTTACAATTGAAAATAAAGGGAGTATTTTTCATCATCAGTCAGAAGATATAAGATGTAATTTGGTTGAAAAAACCCTTTGTGTTCAACACAGTGATTTCAAGTAACTATGTATCTAAATTGTACTGTAACAATCACTTTAAGTAATTTTTAGAAAGTAAAAGTCTGTATCTGGTTGTATATTATACAATATGTATGAAGTCTGCCACCCACTGAGCTCCCTCAACTCTTTATGTAAAAACACAATGTTTTTGTTCTAATATGATCAAATATATGCATGTTAGTATGCAAAAAGAACAGGCATATAATTTTCTTTAATTACTGATCATTCCAATTATTCTCACAGTTAACAAATACAAAATTCATGATTGTAAACACAAAAAAAAACATGACTCAACTTTGTTGTCTCAGCACGTTTGGAGGACACTATTAGAAACATTTTTAGCATGAACAAATACAGTACTGAAATCATAGTCTTTCACATGATGTGTAGGGCTAGGCATGCTAAAGGGGCACTAAAAGGGAAAGCCAAATGGTGTTAGTCCTAGACGTCAGTAGAAACATGGGAAAGCTCTTATTAGGAGGTGACTCACACAGCTGTCTAGCTCTGCTTCGAAAGAGCAAAGGCTCACAATAGCAAATGAGATGAAAACAAGCAGGACACAACCAGCTTGGCAGTCTCTGTCAGTGGCAAGAGTCACCTGAAGACAAAGTATGTTTTTTCAGCCGAATACTAAAATCCAAATATTGAAAGATACCGTATAATTTGGACTGATAATGAAAAAAGAGGGCTATTAATGCAATCCTTTCCAAAAATCAAGAAAAATAAATACTGCTGAGATGTTTGTCTACAGTATGCCATATCCCATTTGCAGTGTAAAGCCTCTCTATTCAGCATCAATCAACTTATTTCTTTTGTTCTGTACCATGCTGGGATCTTGTTTTGCATTTTAAAAGGATTTATATTATTTATCATTGTCCATGTCCAGGGTGTACCCAGCCCTGTGCCTATTGCTTGCTGTGTTAGGGTCCGACTACCCAGCAACTCTGAATTGGATGAAGCAGTTAGAAAATGATGGATGGACTATTTATCATTGAAACAAGGCTTCATTTTAAGATTTACTTTATGTATATTTATTTTGTGTGAACTAATATACAGATAAAATCTTATCTTATAAGTACATACTTACAAATTATGTTAATCCATATTCATATGAACATTAAACTGAAAAGACAACAGTAAAAATGTATGAAAATACCCCTTTGAAATTATTTTTGGGACTGATGGTACTATACTTTACTCAAGTCAAACACAGTCAGCATTCACATTTATAAAAACAGATTAATTTTGATAAGCTGTTTTTAAAACAAACTGCTCTTAGATACTCAAAGTTTCATTAATCATAGTCATTACAATATTGCTTCTCCTATATAAAAACAAGAGGATGAATAAGACGGACTTGATGGAATTAAAAGCTCATAAAAAATAAATGCTGAAGATATTTCTGTCAAACTTTTTAAATAAAATCGATGATCTATAATTGTTAGAAGGGCAAAGACAATTTTGTAGGACTGACTTAAATAGTGGCACTATTTTTTATAAATGTTTATGTCTAAAATTCCATTAAAACAAGGTCTCTTTCAATTTTATGAAGGATCTTGAAAATACACATACCTTTTTTCAGCTAAAACTGCCAATTTCACAGTCATTATTTTTAAAATTTGCCTTAAACACGAGAACATTAACATTTTACATTGTATGCTATGTTAATCTGTTAAAGAAAATGTTTTATTTTTTATAAAAAGTCTTAAAATAATAAACAATAGACATTCAATAAAGAGAATGTGTTTGATTCATCTAATGATCTGTGTCAATATTTTACCTTTTTAATTCCTATGATTATTACCCATTAATACAAAAATTCTGACACCTCTTTAGTAGAAACTACAGTTTTGGCCTAAGAACCAACAATTATAAAATAAAATTCTTAAATTAAATAAACAAAAAAACATAAATATTACCTTCTTCTGACAGCTAACTTTTCAGTCTTGCTCTCTTCCTGTTCAAAGACAATTACAACTATTTTATACCGTGCCTGAAGTATCCATTGCTTACATACATACACTGATTCATCGTTCAGACTTCAACAGACGATTCCATTTACCACTTATTTTACCTATGGATCAAACTTGGATTTTCAGGTAAAACGCTTAATCCCTATTATATCCTATGTGGTCTGTCAAATAAAATGTAACAACTGTTCTGTAGTTGCTATTGAATGAGAACTTTGAGTTAACACACAGGAAACAACACAATAAGAACATACTGCACAATAAGTATGAACTCTTAGATTAAATTAAGAGGAAGTGGATCAAGCTTAATCTCAAAATCAGAAGTAGGTAATAAAATAATGTTTTAAAAAGACACATTTTTACAATTACTCCATTACTCAACAAATCTCCCACTTGACTGTGGCTATTTTAGGATTTCACCAGGCTTTGAGCAGTTGTCGTTTTATTCTTACATTTAAACCCATGATTAGAGTGAATCACTGCAGCACTGGGTGTGTCTGTTTCTGCAATAATTAAATTTGTATTTTTAACTGATTTATTTTGTCTTAGGTTCTTAGGGGGAGGTTAGTTATCTACAGAGCTACCTATTTGTTGCACATACGTCATAACAATATTTCGTTTTTTGAGAGAGGGGTGTCTCTCAAATAATATTTATACTACGGATTTAGTTGGTATACCAGTTAACAATCACAAAAAATATTCTGACCAAAGTCAAATGACTTTAATTCCTCAAAACTACTGATTTTGGTGTAACTTGCAGATTCTTTTGGAAGTTAGTTTGGAAACTGGGAATAAGAGGTAGTTCTTAACACAGAGTTACGGAAGTATAAAACAAGCTGCCCAGCATTGTTGCTGGAAAACTGGCATCCTTCAAGAAATGGGTGGATGATATGTTTAGATTTATTAGCTGCTGTAGCCTTTCTAATGATCTTATTACTTTTAATTTATTTAAAGGGTGGCTAGATTGTACTGAAAACATATTGTAGCATTCCTGCAAGGAATTGTGGTCCTCCTTTGGATTAAGGGCGCGGTCAGTTCACCTTTCAGTCCGTCATTTGTCCCCACTAATCAGGCATATTATTATACAATTAATTCACCTCTATCACTGATCTCTCACGGGCGGTACTGCTCTGACCACACTCCCCTCCGGATGTGCTGGAACACCCTTTCGGATAGCGGATCCCAAAAGGTCATGTCTAAGCCTCGGACATGTTCTTCCCCAGTGTCATCTACCCCAGTCAGCAGCCAGCCTTTACTGCCCCTGATCCACTCGCCGCCCCAGTCGTCTGTTGGCAGTCAGCCTCTGCTGCAACCATATGACAGCCGCTACTCCAGCCAGCAGGCAGCCTACCCCTGCAGCAGCTGCTTCAGCATCTCAGAGGAGGAATCTGGTCTCTGCTGCTTCTACTGCATCACCAGTTTGCTGTAAGTCAGCAGCCAATCTCTGCCGCAATTTTTACAGCCGTTTTGGTTTGCTAAAAGCCAGTAGCCAATCACCGCCCCAGCCTACTACGACTACAGATTCTCTGGTCCGGTACAAGTCAGCAGCTAGTCCCTGCACCACCCTGCTGCAGCTTCTACAGCCTCATCGCTCTGCTACAAATCGCAGCCCACCCCTGCAGCTTCCCGGTTCTCTACAAGCAGCCAGTCCCTGTACCAGCCTGCTGCAGTCTCTTCGGTTCCAGCAGCCTGCAGTGAGCTATACAGCTTCACCAGCTTTGCTGCAACTTCTGCAGCCTCCCTGGTCCACTACAAGTTGGCAGTCGATCACCTCATCAGCCCACTGCGGTCTATACAGCTTCACCAGCCTTCAGGGGTTTATACAATACAGCCATTCCAGTCAGCTACAAACTGGCATCACGTTCCACCTTCATCCTTTTCTCCCCTGGAGCCTTGCACTGGTTCTGGTCCTCAGTGGGCACAGTGCCTTGCCCAGACCAGGGAGAGCCTGCTGAAGCCCACCGTGACAGTACATGCTTTGACCTGGTCCCCGATCAGCCCAGCTCCTGTTGCGCTACCCGTAGACCGCCCTGACAACGAGTGCCCTGTCCTGTCTGGCTCCAGATACAAGCTTTCCAGCCCCCACACTAGCCTGCTACGGCTTCTACAGCTCCAACCGTGTGCTGGCAGTCGGCTGGCCATCTCTGCTGCAACTTATGCAGTTAGTTTGGTCCACTGCAAGGCAGCGGCTAGTCACTGCACATCTCAGCCTGGTCCAGGGCACACTTCCTACAACCTGCCCTGTAATCCGCCTGGACTAGGCTCCCATGAGCACACACCCTGATCAGCCTGGCTCCTGGCGTGCTCTTGGTTGACCCCTCTGATGATGTATGTTTTGCTTGCTCGGCTCTAGTTGCAGACCCTTCACCTAGGCCGGCCTTCGCTGAGTTGGCAGCCTACCCCTGCAGTGTCGGCCATGGCCACAGCCAGTCTGCCACCAGTCTCTGCTGCGACTACTACAGCAACGCTGGTCTACTGCTAGGCCGCAGCCCATCTCTGTTGTTATCGTCACTTCCTGCTTCCTCTAGTGCACACTCGGCCGTCTCTGGGGTGCTTTTTCTCTTCTGCCTTCAGGTGTCATCGTAAGGCTCCGAAACTCTCCGAACACAAGCGCTTGGATTCCGATCTGATCACCACCATGGTTGCACATTGTCCACAGCAGTGTGGTAACTGAAGGACTGGCTAACACAGAAGTAGGGGAAAATCCAGACTGCACTGGATGAAATTCAAGACAGCATTTGAAGACGACAAGTGCAGGATTTTCCAATGAAAGAAGGACCAGAACAGATGAAGACTATGGGGAAATACATTTAAAGCCGAGAACAGGAGACAACTTGCTACACAAAGGATTGTGAGGGCCTGGAACAAGCTCCCTAGCGAAGATGAAAAAGCTGACTCCATGGGTTCTTTCAAGAAACATCTGATTGCATCTCTGATCAATCAACCACTGAATACTAAATTATCAAAAATAACTCATTTTATTTTTACGTGTTTTATTATTATTATT